TACGGTGTCTTTCTTTAAAATATGGTGGTTTTGGGAAGTTAAACTCGGCAATTAAATGAGAGAGATGAAAATGATTAAAAATGTAACTGATTCATGATAACTCCGCAGCACGGTTTTTACATCCGACATACAATGCACAATGTAAATGCAATTTTGTGATCGCCTGGTTTCTTTTAAGACCGCTAGATGGCATCACCTATCCAGTCTGTCGGGGGCTCACACGTTTGCGGCTTCTATGTTCTAGCCATTTTAGCTTTGGTAATCAGGCTGAAATGTAATCGCTATTAGCACTCGCACTTCGACTTATTTTGACATGATTCCCCTCAAGGGAATCGAAAAAATTCTGGTGCAGCTTCTTTACTGACTGTCCGAAATGCTAAATAACTGCTTCGAAAAAGTTTTACGCTTCTCATAATGCCTGGCTGCCAGCGTCGTCTGCTATGACCACATATATGAAAACCACGCTGGCCGAGCATGCTGCTTTTGTAAAAGGTAACGACTCATTTTGTGTCAAATTGAAGCATCAAATGGGTATTCACCCGTTCTTGCGGCAAAGAGACTTATTTTTGCTGTAAGGAAGGCGCGTAACCACGCTTCTCCATTCATTGTATAGGTTTGTATCTAAAGACGGGCCACAGTCGACACGACAAGGATGCGCAAATTAGCATTTTTGTTTAGCACACATAGCCTTACGAAGCACAGCGCAAGTGGATTCCCTGCTTTGTGAGGTCCAACACAGCATTCTTACAGCTGCAACCTTTGTGTTATAATACCGGGCAAACGAGTGAGTCGCGCGCACGCGCGTGCCTCATTCAGAGTAGTAACCAAAGGTTAAATTTCACTCGAGGAAAAGTTTCTCTGCGGCATGATCGTAATACTTATTGCGAAAATTATATACGGTTGTCACACGATGCGCATTCGAACGCCATCGAGTTCACATATGGGTGAAAACTTTGAATGATTGGCTTAGTTAAACAGCTTCTACGAAGAGGCTCTACGAAGAGGAAGAGGCAGTATGGTTGACTGTTACTTTGTGCACTATATGCTATGAGAAATAGTTTTGGGGGGGGGGGGGGGGGGCACGGGCTTGGTGTGCCACCCCCTGGCTGCACCACTGGCGTACGGAAACCACGTGTGGTCGAGTACACACACGGTGACCGACACTCGGGGAGGAGAGTGGAGGGTGGCGCAGACTGTGTTAGAAGTTACCTTGGAGAGAGAGAAGTATCTTTATCACACTGAAGTGGCACATGTATGATGTTGATGCAAGAAAGAAGGTTTCGACGAACGCACTTGCCGAACACGCAGAAGCAACTGGCCTCGAAATAGACCGAAATGTGGTTAAATTAACAAAAATTAAAGGAAAGACTGGATTTCTGGGCTTTATCTTGACTGATCATTCAGACGACAACGCACATTTTTAAATGTAATGATGGCAACTTCCCCCACGTGTACGCACGCGCGTCGTATTTTAATATATATATAATCCGACTGTTTGCACATTACCTTTTCCTTGTGAACGATGCTCCCATGCGAAAACTGAAACGTTCTGTTTTCATGTGAACAGTCGTGGTTGGTGCTCATTTTAAGCTCATGGGCTTGAATTGACAGCCACAACAACATAAAAAGAGAGAGGTGACAGTGGTACTGCCAGTAGCCATGACAATGTCCTCGCGTACGTATTTCGCTGCGGCGCACCGCCGATAACGTTTGCTGCAACTTGCCGGATTTTGTAGTCTGTAGAAGTCCGCACACATGAAGTAAGAACAAAACAACCTACCTTAGCTGGAAAATTATTGATGGGCGTATGCTATCGCCCTCCGTCCTCTGACCGCCTTTTCGTGTCTGAGCTTCACAGAAGTATGTCCAGGGCTCTTGACCTGTTTCCCACCAGAAAAATTTACTCATTCGGTGATTTTAATTTTCCTTATATTAATTGGTCTCGCACGTCTTCTTCGATCAGTACGTCAAGTGAATTCATCGAACTATGTCTTGACTTCAATTTCACCCAGCTTGTCTCAGAGCCCACTCGCGATACCAATATTTTAGATCTTATACTTTTTATACTAATATTTTAGAACACAGCCACATACCATAGGTACAATTGTGCAATTAGATGGTTTTAGCGATCACAACCTTCTACAGTTTTCAATTAATATTCCACTAAAATTTCCGGATGTTCAGCGCAAGGTAATCAGGGATTATAGCAAGGCAAATTACGATCTAATGAACTCTGAACTTGATGTCTTCCTACACAATACATTTCTTCCCTCATTCACCAACAGGTCTGTTCAGGATAACTGAAATTCCTTTAGAAACATTATAGCGCTCCTCGTAGATAAATATGTTCCACTAATAACAATCTCTAACGACAAATCCAACCCATGGTTCAATAAATCGCTTAGATCGCTCAGAAATAAAAAGCAGAGGTTATATGCTTCAGCTAAAAGGTTATCATCTTCTAAGTCATGGTCTATGTATAAAGACTGTTTAAAATCTTACTGTCTTGCGATTAGCGAAGCGCAAAAGAAATAATTTTCCGCCGACCTGTCTTCACTTTTACTGACTGACCCTAAAAAGTTTTGGCGTGCCATTTCGCCTGACCGTGGCAGTGACATTGTTACATTACATAACGCCGATAATGTTCCTGTCTCTGCATCTGAGTGTGCTTCAACCTTCAATTCGTTTTTTTGCTCGGTTTTTACTAATGAAGACTTTTCTTCGGTTCCCTGTGTCCCCGATCGTGAGTACTGCTTCATGTCTCCTATCATTGTTACTGTTGAAGGCATATCTAAACTTATACACGGTCTAAAGCTGTCTACATCGTGTGGTGTTGACAATATTAATTCCAAGGTACTTAAAAACACATCCGCTTCCTCCAGTCAAATTTTATGCCACATTTTTCAACAGTCTTTATCTTCTGGTCAACTTCCCACTGACTGGAAGATAGCAAAGGTTATTCCGATATTCAAGGATGGTAACAAACACACACCCAGTAACTACCGCCCCATTTCGCTAACATGCATCTGTTGCAAGCTGCTTGAACACATCACCACCTCTCATATATACAGCCATCTTGAGTCAAATAACTTCTTCTTTCTAAATCAGCATGGTTTTCGTAAAGCGTTATCTTGTGATACTCAGCTATTAGAATTTACGTCTGATTTACATAACGGCATGAATAGTAATAAAATTGTTGACTGCATCTTTTTAGACTATGCGAAAGCATTTGACAGAGTTGCCCATTGTCGCCTAATAGCTAAGTTGTCTGCACTTAAACTCGACTCATCAACATTATCTTGGCTTAGAAATTTTTTGTCCAATCGACGGCAGTTTACATTTGTCAATAACTTCAGCTTGTCTACTTCATTTGTTTCATCAGGTGTGCCCCAGGGCAGTGTATTAGGCCCTCTTCTTTTTCTGATTTATATTAATGATTTGCCTTGTAACATTTCTTCCTCAATTCGTCTTTTCGCGGATGACTGCGTAATGTACAGAACTATTAACTCTGAAGAAGACCACGTACATTTACAAAAGGACCTCGACTTAATAAATCAGTGGTGTGACCGTTGGCAAATGACGCTTAACACATCTAAGTGCTGCGTACTTTCTTTCACCCGTAGGAAATCGGTTTTTAACTTTTCTTACTCTATCTGTTCAGCTGTAATTCCCCGTTCATCTACATACAAATACCTTGGTGTCCATCTTTGTACTTATCTTGCCTGGTGTACTCACATCGACAAAATATGCACGAAAGTAAACAGAACTCTGGGGTTCTTGCGCCGGAATCTGCATCATTCCCCATCTACCATTCGGCAGCAGGCCTACCAAACGTTTGTACGTCCTCAGCTTGAATACGCTTCATCGATCTGGTCTCCGCATCGACAATACCTAATAGATAAACTGGAATCCATCCAAAATCGTGCAGCCCGCTTCATCACTTTAATGTATAACTGCCACTCCAGCATCACCCAAATCAAACGCGAATTCGCCCTTACTAACTTGGATTCCCGCCGCTCTGTCACCCGTCTATGCCTCCTCCATAAGTACTACTACAACTCGTGGACCAGTCGTCTATCGCTTGACATTCCTTCGCGTACATCTAGTCGACTTCATAATCATCTCAGTTTCAGACGCATCTTCGGCAACACACAGTCATTCAATAATTCTGCATTGCCACGCGCCATCGCAGTTTGGAATAGTCTTCCGTATGAAATTGTTTCTTTGAGAGATCCGACCAAATTTCGTGAGCTACTGCAAATTTATATGTTCTCTTGATTTTGTATAAAATAAAGATGCTTTTTTTTTTCATTTTGTATTTTGCTGCATTTGCTTATAGTGTTTGTTCTTCTCCCTTCCATTGTAAAATTTTATCTGTTTTCTTCGATATATTTCTTTTTATGCTTTATGTATTGTGATTTTTCTGTAACCCCCCTACTCAATGCTCCTCTGGGGCCTGTAGGGTAACATGAATAAAAAAAAAAAACAACGCTGTTCAAAAGTGAAAACAACGCGAATTTGCAGTTAAAAACAATGCCCCCAACCGCCAGCTTTCCTTCGCCAGAGCGAGATCACGTGATCCAACATTGCACGTCACCGCAATGGCAGTGCTCGCTCCTCCAGCGGTGGGCCTCGCGCCCAATATGCTACCTAAACATGTACAGTATCTGTAGTTGGTATTATGACATGACGATAGTTATAGCGCGAGAACAGGACGACAAAGCTTGTCAAGCTGTCCAAAGCTTGTACAATTGCATTGTGACACGGGCATAACAGCATCTTTGCGATCTGCCTAGAGGAGTTTTATTACCCTGATGGAGTTTAACAGATTCTGGTGGTGGCCTTGTGATAGGGGTATAACAAGCCCACTTCGCGACTTGCACTGAATTCGATGTTGATACGCGTGTAATCCAGTGCTGCTCAATAAAATGCTGTATTACGTAGCCTCTGCAGCCACTGACTAAGCGCTTTTTTTTTTTCCTTCTTGGGTGTCCACGCAGCTGAAGGCATTGGGCTTTCCCGAGTACCTGGTCGTGCAGGCCTACTTTGCCTGTGACAAGAACGAGAACCTGGCGGCCAACTTCCTGCTCTCGCAAAACTACGACGACTGATGCCTCTCGACGCTGTGCCTTAAGCCCTCCTCTTCCACAGGTCCCTGCTGTCTGAAGCACATCAATGTCTCGGTTTGCTGCTGATACTCGTCCTCACACAACAACAAATGAAACAGAGCAAGACAGAAGAAGCACGTGCATTCAAAACACCCTTCTGCAGTTTTTGTTGCTTTTTTTTTGTTAACGAGGCGGTATTTAACTGATCAAGAGCGAAAAGGGTCAATAAAACAGAAAAAAGGCGAGGCAGACGACGCGCGTGACTAGGAGCCTAACTGTTGTGACGTCACCCACGCCTTGCGTGATGTCATCGTTTGCCGTTTCTGTGCGAGCAGCTGATGCATCGATGGCTTGGTTTTGTTTTCTTTCCTCTGGGAGTGGCGTGTTTTTGTGTGGATATATATTTTTTGTACAGGATAAGTTGACATGAAATGCTGTGCAAAAATTGTTGTAGTTGAGCGTCGAAGAAAAAAAGGAGGGGAGGAAATAAGCGGTTGTATTCGCGCAGTGTTTGAGCGAATTTCACTGCGCATTTGCCGAATGCTTGCTATTCCTGTACGCGGTTTATAGCGTGTTGAAAATAAATGACTCATTTCGCAACGTCAACTTGTTTTACTATTACTCAGACCCACACAACCGAAGGACTGGTATTGAGGTGAGTACGAACCATACGGCATAGCGTGCAACTTGTAAGGGGCGCGTAGCGAACGAACAGGCCTACTTTGCGGAGCTGCGTTTTCCCGAGAGATACATGTACGACGTCGACTGTCCACCACCTCCGGGCATGTTCAGGCTCGTCGGCGCCTCGGTCGACTCTGCCTCGAAAGGCTCGGGCACGTTGCTCTGCATGTGCGCGTACAGGTTGACGTTGCTGCCGCACTGGTAGGCTTCCGAGTTCTCCCCGACGTGCTCGGCAGGGACCGAGGCGGCCTCGTTGTCGCTCGCCCGCGTGTAGTTGTGTGTGATGTCCTCCAGCCGCGTCGGGCTGAAGGCCACCTCGCTTGCTTCGTGCTTGCCGAAACGGTCTTGGCTCTTGGACGAGTCGCTCTCGACGTCGTGCGAACCCGGTGTGGAGGTGCCGAATCTCAGGCAGCCACTGCAGTGCCGCGATCGCACCAGAACCGCTCGTGGCAGCATCTCGACGATTTCGGACAAATCTGGCTAAGCGGGTCGACGAGCACCGCCCAACTGGTAGGTGTTCTGTGCACCGCCGACTGCTGCGGCGAAGTTACTGATGCGCCACTCCACCCACCCGGTTCGCTTTCCCAAAGCAATGACGCATTTCGAGCACGTGATTCTGTTTGTTTCGGCTTGGTTTTGGTGGGTAACGCAAGCTTCTGTTTGGCCAACACCTCTTCTAGGAAGATGCCTGCTGCATGAGAAAAAAATAACAGCTGCCACACTCTTTTCCTCCTTCATTTTGAAAATGTTCCCGGTCGCTAGCGTCACTTGTGGCAAATGGTGCAACAACGCAACACTTTGCATAGCCTCCGAAACAGTAGTGCACAGTTGCAGGTCTCGAACAACTTTCGACTGATGCGCCCCTAGGGGCCGTAGATGAAAAACGCTCTGCTGGTACCGGCCAACGTTACTAGATGCTTTTTTCTAGTAACGTTGGGTACCGGCCGTTGCCGTAATAATGAATAGATGGATGAATGGATATGGCTATACCCTTTAGATCGGGCAGTGGCTAGCGCCACCAAGCCGTACGACTTAATGACCTCAAAACTATATTTATTTATTTTTTCCTTAAAAAGTGAGTTTGAGGATTCGTACTTTGCAGTGAAGAGTTTAATTTTCACTCGTGCCTTGACTTTAGCCACCAATCAGATAACCTCCTTCTAGTTAAGTCTGCTTGCTTAAAGTCTATTTTGCCCTCCCGGTCTCTAAACCCCAGTGCTTTGAAAAACTCTGCGCCATCATCCTGAACTATAGGGTGAAGCCCTTAACAGAACATTATCAAGTGTTCGGCAGTTTCTTCTTCCTCTCCACACGCACTGCATACTGTGTCTACCCCTTCGTATTTGGCCCGATATGTCTTGGTTCGCAGTACTCCCGTCCTTGCCTCAAACAGTAGAGAACTACCCCGAGTATTATCATAGATCCTTTCCTTGGCAATTTCCTGCTTAAAAGTTCGATAGATTTCTAGTGCGGACTTCTGAATTATGCCCATTTTCCACATGTCAGTCTCCGTTTCCTTCACTTTCTTCTTAACCGATAGTTCTTTTTGGTTTGGCCACCTGCTGTTTTCTAAGTATTTACCAGTCAACTTCCTGGTTCGCTTCCTCCATTTTGTATCGACATTCTTCATGTACAAGTAGCTGAAAACCTTCCTAGCCCAACGCTCCTCCTTCATTTCTCTCAATCGCTTCTCAAATTTTATCTTGCTGCTAGCTTCCCTGCCCTCAAATGATGTCCATCCCATATCACCTTGTACTCCCTGATTTGGTGTATTCCCGTGAGCTCCTAAAGCAAGCCTACCTATTCCACGTTGCTTAATTTCTAATCTTGCTTGAACTTCTGATCTCATGCACGAGACCGCATTGCCGAACGTCAGCGCAGGTACCATGACCCCTTTCCATATTTCTCTCACAACATCATACCTATTTTAATTCCACAGTGCCCTATTTTTCATCACTGCTGCATTCCTGTTACCTTTAGTCGTCACTTATATTTCGTGTTCCCTCAGGTACTCGGTTCCATTGCTTATCCATACGCCCAGATATTTGTATTTATCTGTTATCTCTAGCGTGACGTCCTGTATCATAAGCTCACTACCTTCGTTGTTATTGAAAATCATGACTGCTGATTTTTCCTTACTGAATCTAAAATCTAACCTATCTTCCTCATTACCGCAGATGTCCATCAATCTGCAAATCTTCCTTGTTGGCCATTAGCACTATATCATCTGCGTACATTATTGCTGGTAGTGTATGATCAATAAGTTTTCCTTGTTTGACTAAAGAGAGGTTGAAGCCCAGTCCACTTCCCTCTAATTTTGCCTCTAATCCTTGTAGGTACATCATGAATAATAAGGGTGACACGGGGCACCCCTGCCTAAGCCCCCGTTTTACCTCTGCAGGCTTGGATACCTGTTTTTCCCACTTTATAACTACCTTGTCACCTTTTAGATACCCTTTAAAAGATTAGTGACTACATGTTCCACGCCTAGTGTGTCCAGTATTCCCCACAATTCCTCTTAGTCTCGATCACGAGTGCCACCGCGCGGCGCTTGCTCAAAACTGAAGGCAGGCCAGCTCCGCTGGGAGCGTGAGCCATTCCCCAGGTCACATGCCCCAGGCATTGTTTAGAGGAGGCGTCAGGCCCCGGAAACTCTCAAGTTCAAGTGCTCACCTGTAGAGAGCGAAAACATCAACCGCGGCGCGTTTCTGTTTCAAACACCCAGAGTGGATCTACTAACCTCTATCGCCACTCGCGCTATTGCACTTTCTTGTAGAGGCGCCTTCGTCGGGGAGTGTCGTGAATGGGCCGGCCGAGGGGAAATGGTATGCGATACAGCCGCCAGGTGGCAGTACCGCTCTCTGGCGCGCTGCTTTTTCGGCAAGCTGGGAAGGCAGCAAGCCGGAGCAGACGCTTTGCGTTGAAATTGCAGTGGTGGTTTCATGGCTTAGCACGTGATTGCCTTGTTATCCTGTGTTTTCCATGCAGACTGTAAATAAAGCGTGTGAATTTGAACGAAATGTATGCGAGCTCTCTGCCTTGTTGAGATTTTGTGTCCTCCTGACGTGCCGCCTCTTCATAGATTGGCCGCTCGCGCGTTACCAGTGCTACTTTTTAAATTGCGGTAATTAAGGGGTGGCCAACCAGGGGCTCCCAGCGGTACGACTGTTCAACACAAAAAATCACATATTTCTCTCCTCATCCGCGACCACCATTCCCTCCCGTAGGCGCACTTAGTGCCAGCGGCAGGCTCAATTTCGCAGCCGCAACAAAGAAGCAGATCGTCGGCCCTTTTCAGCGAAGCGAGTGCGTCAGTTTCGGTGCTGACATAGTGCTCTTCCACATTTATGCCGCGGCAGTATAAGTACTGCAAAGGTGCCCATCTGCAGCACCTACTTCCTTGCTTGACGAAAACACTACGTGTTTCAACACGCAGACTTCACCCAGCACTGTATTGTAGTGCCATGCGAAGCACAATGCTTCTGGGTTACTGGGCAAGCAAATTTTGCTGCAAAATGCCGACGGCGGCGTTATGCTGTGAAACGGGTGCGGCGCCTGTGCTGTTTCCTCGCCAGCGGCAGCATCGTCACAGGCCTGGGAAGTCGTGGGTTCATTCGGCGCTTTACGCTTAGCAGGTGGAGCTGTGCAGTCAGCAATATTCCTCTCTTTTCTTTTTCGAGGCACTCGTTTAGTCAGGTAAGCGGGGCCATCCGGGAAAATGGTAGGAACGGCGTCCGGCGTTAGCGATGGTCGTTCACGGTCGAATTCGATGTCCTCACCGTTGATGACATGCTTGAAAGTTCTTTGGATGTAGCGATCATCAAAATGACGAGAACACACTACACAAGTTTCGTCTAGAACTTTGTCACCTCTTTTGATGTTTCGCGCCCATTCTTGAAGACGAACAGGGTCTGCCGGAGCCCTGAACAGAGACACCTTCTCTTTGAAAGACTTGTACCCGCCTTTGCACAAAGCACGTTCTTCCTTTTTTTTTTCAGGCATAGTCACACACAATCGCTGCACGAGAATTCACGGCACATATTCGAAACGTAGCGAGAACACGCTTCACCACACAGACAAGTCGCCACCCGACACAACGTTGAAAGGCCTGGCCGGCACGCAAACTGACGCGCCAGTTGCAAGTAGCGCCCCCTAACGCCGAATTCAAATCAATTTCCCAGCCGCCGATGGGGAAGGTGCCTGTTCATGACACTAGGAGAATATTCTAGGCACTCTAGTCGGGGCCAAATTTTATTGGCCGCGTCTGCTGCCACCGGGTGGAACGAACCTTTTGAGAGCCAAAACGTTCGGTTCACCCACGGAGGAAGGCACGGAGGGGAGGAAGGAATGAGTTCACCCAATAGCCGCCTAAAACCGGCTTGACTTGGCTGAAAATGTATGAATAGACGGCGACAGAATCGCCGTGTTGGACATTTTTTGGGGACGTGTAGGTGGTGGGAACGAAAGGTCTAAGATTCCTCACTAACTTGTGAGAATCTTTGGATAGATGGATAAATGGATATGGCTGTACCCTTTAGATCGGACGGTGGCTAGCGCCACCAAGCCGTAATATAAGCTCACTATCTTCCTGTGCGGTGGCAGTGCCTCCTGGAGGCACTGGCGGTGGTTATTTATCCGTGGTCTTTGCTTGAGCGGGAGTTGTATGCATTCGCGAGAACCGCCTCTGCGCATGGATACGTAAGGTCCTTCCAATTTATTGAGGGATTTTATGGATACGTGGTCTCGTTCTGTAATACTCTCTATAAGTAATGTGGTAACGACTTGCCAGATCATGAATACCGTGTGTTATGCTATTTGTGGATGTATGCCGTACGTGTATGTCTGGTAAGTGCGTGTGTAGCGTAAGGATCGATGTGTCGCTTGGGTGAAATGTATGCTTGCGCCAAAACTTTCATTGAAGCTTCTTCTTGCGTAACTGCGTGAGACAGATACGAAATGCACAAGTTGGAAGCGATGGAATATTACCAGGCGTTCACACGACGTTATTTTCCTAGTGGCTTAAATATGCTGTCGCCGATTACGATAATCGGTTTTCTAAGCTATGCCTGTTCTAGTGGGTGTATACAAAGAAAAAAAAGAAATAAAATTGAAGATATGCTGGGAGCACTATAAATATTCGGTCAAAGTTGCCACTTTAAGCGTCTTCTTAAAATTAAACAAGTGCCGCAAGGCAGTCATGCCTTGCGGTGAAGTGCACGCAGTGTATTGCTGTAAAGCATACATATCGCGCGCGCTCGTGTGTAAATTGGAAATGTAGCACTGACATTGGGCCTTGTGTGTGCACCTAAATTGTACACGCGCTATCCTCTGTCTCATCAGTGACGATGCGGCAGTCAGTATTGTCATCATCTTCAGCTTGTGTAACAAGTCCAGAACAATTTACCTAGTAAAATACATTTTGTGGCTGGCAATTCGCAAGGCATTCAGATTTTAGTTCATTGCAGGATTAATTCAAGATTGTTAAATGGCACCTTCAAATAAACGAAACATGCATATGAAAGGCTTCAGTCGTACTTCAAAATTTGTGCCATGCCTCAAATTGAAAATGATTATAAAGAAAATATATACTAAGGCTGGGTGTAGATTACCATTCACAATTCAATTACCATTCATATTTTAGAAACTTAGAAAATTTGTAGCTCATGTTTATCTATCGAGTAAGCACGAA